GAAAAATGTTTTATGAGTCTATCATGTACATGTTTATAATCCGCAGAGGTCAGAAGAGGGCATCAGATCCCCTGGAACTGGAGTTCCAGATGGTTATGAGCAGCCGTGTAGGTGATGGGAATCAAGCCCGGGTCCTCTGGGAAGGCAACAAGTGCTCTTAAGCACTGAGCCATCTCTCCAGCCCATTAGTAATTCTGCATTGTCGATGACCAACTCAGGGTCTTGTGCATTCTCCCACTGAGCTCCGGCTTTGGTTGTCAGAACTAAACATTTTAAAAAGAAAACAATGAGTTTGAGGTATCATGGACCATGTCAGAAACGAGTTTAAGCGACTTGGGGTCGGGTATTGAGTTGCTGCTGTTCTTGTTGTAGCAAATGTGTTCCCAGTATTGGAACTTTTCATTGGAGTCAAATTCTCAGCAATTTGGAGAGCATACGAACAGAAGACATTGTAAGAAACTAGTGAGTTCAGTGGCCTCACACACAGAGAGTTCCGTATGTCTTAGTTTATGATAGTGTATTTAAAGCTACGAACTATTTTATGCTTCCCAAAGGCAAACAACTTTGGGGCTATTTTATTTATTTCTTACAAAGTCAAGGTTATTCAGAGTCCAAGTAGGTAACCACAGAGTGTAGTAAACTGGTTTTTCAAGCTTCACCTTCTCTCATAGTTCACTGAAACAGGAGAAACCATGCCTGTTCCTTCTGAACTCCTTACCCTGAAATAACATTTCTTACCGACGACTGGAAAATCACAGTGACATGGACTCCATTACAATACCCTTCAAGGAAGGACCTGCCTTCTAGTCAGAGGCGGCATGATTATTCTTTATGACCTTTCTTACGTTAAAAGAAACAGATTCAAGTAGAAAATCAAGGCAATCATCAATGACCTTTTTACCTTGTGTAGCTCAGGCTGGACTTGAACTCACTATGGAGCTGAGGATGATCTTGAACTTCTGATCTTTCTGCCTCCACTCCTTGTGTGCTGGAATTAGAGGTGCTGTACACCACATTCAGGTTTTGCAGGGCTGGGGATCAAACCCAGAGCCTCATGCAAGCTAGGCAAGCACTTTATCAACTGAGCTACGTGGAAGTCCCACTGGCCTGCAGTCCCATGGCATTTTCTTATTATCTGGCCAGGCCTACGCACATACCGTTCATGGATGCTCCCCTGATGTATTAGCTGAGTTAAGTGGGCATGAGTATTGTCTCATAAAACATTTAAGTATTTACCATTAGGTTCCCTACAACGTTTGCTTTGTACAGTGTCTTGATGAAAACCCAATACAGTTTTGGGGAAAGCGTGGGTGTGAGAGTCAGCCCACCATTCACTAGCCATATAAGCTGGCATAGCCAATTGCCTAACCTCTCTTGTGCCTCCATCTTGCATTTATAAAACGACCATCCCAATGCTAACCTTTGAGGAAATGCTACACAGAGGCAAGTGGAATTTGAAGCCAAAAGCGTGTGTCCTTACACACATGTAATTATTAGAATGTGAAATGTCTTCCACAGGTTCATGTGTTCAGACACTTGTCCCCAAACGGTGGCACTGTTTGCAGAGGCTGTAGAACCCTTGGGAAGTGGGTCCTAGCTGAAAGAAGTGTCCCTGAGGGCTAGGCCTTAAGGATTAGAGGTTGGGCACCCTTCCAGTCCCAGCTCTCTGCTTCCTGGCCTGCTCAGGTGTAACAACATCAAGAGCTCCACCCCGACCATCAACGTGGCAAGGTGCCGTGCCTTCCCACCATGAAGGACAGCATCCTCTTGCACCACGAGCCAGAGAAACTCTTCCTCCCTTAAGTTGCTTCTGCCAGGTGTTTTGTCACAGCCACGGGGAAATGAATTCAATACGCTCCTTACAGAGCTGAGGTATGGCTCAGAGGTAGTGCATAGCGCTTGTGAGGCCCTGGGTTCGATCCTCAGCACCGCATGCACACACACAAATATCCTTTGGTATTTTGAATCAACTGCCCACAGTTCATCAACACTCTACCATAAAGAGAAAAAAAGGGAAGGGACTCTCTCAATAAAGCTGTGTGATTGGGTCTGTTTACACAGCTTCAACGACACTCATAAACTGCCGCACAAGGAAGTAAAGGCAGCCTTGGGCCACCAAGGAACAGGTTGCTGGTTAGAAATGACTCTTTTCACCAGCAGTACAGGTGATAGCACAAAAAGCAGTCTATCTGTAAGTAAATTTTTAACCTTTTGTTCACTATGCATTTATTTGCAATATTTTTGATATTTTAAATATTGCATTATAGCCTCACTCACTGGGAGGGCCAGATGGCTCAGTGGGTAAAGGCACCTGCTGCTAAGCCTAGTGACCTGAGTTCAGAACCCAAAGAGTGGGAAGGAGAGAGCTGGATGCCAGCAAGTTGTTCTCTGAACTTCACCAGCACATTGTGGTGTGTGTGTATATGCACACACGTGCACACATCCACGAATAATCACTTATATGTCATTTTTAGTTAAAAAGCATGGCACTGGAGAGATGGCTCTGCAGGCAAGGTCACTGGCTGCTCCTTTAGAGCATTGCCAGCACCCACACCGTGGCTCACAACTATCTGTAACTCCAGTCTCTGAAGAGAGGGCACCTTCTCCTGGCCTCTGTGGACACTGCAGGCACATGGTGCACAGAATACATTCGGAAAAACACTCAGACACATAAAAATCTCCAGAAAATGAATACTCACTTGGCTTCTGAGTTTTGGTGTCCCTCCTCATACATGTTGTTTCTGGGGAATGCTGTTTACCTCACTCACTTTACCCAAGCCCCCGGACTGTCAGGGCTGGTCTACGAATCATAAATGATGCCTAGGAGATCTCCAAAGCCTTGGCACTCAGTAGATGCCACATAGCAACTATTGATGTCGATGACAGACCGGGACAATACTATTTACCACTTAAGGTTGGACAAAGACTTGAAGTGATGCCATCAAGAGGGCTGGAAATAAATCCCAATATAACTAATATAAAATTGCTAGGCCAATTCTAAGCTTCATTTCTCAGCATGCCTTTATGATTTTTAACAGTTTCAACCGGTTTACAAAATTGAGTTCTACCATCTCATCCTTTGCATTATTTTATTTTTAAAATTTTAAAATTTCATTATTAGCCCGTGTGCATGTGCACAGGTTCTTGCATGCCACAGCTCATGCATGGGGAAGAGTCAGTGCTCCCCTTCCACCTTTCCGTAGGTTGGGTTCCAACTCAGCCCCCAGCCTTGTGCAGTGGGTGCTTTTACCCACAAGGCTGTCTCACCAGCCCCTCACCAGTATTTGTTTAAAAAATATCTTTGGGCATTTCTGAAAAGCATCAGAGTGAACTTAATGAGTACTTTTCCCTCTTTCTGGCATACGTATCTGCGTGTGGTGTGTGTGTTAATGTGTATGCGTGGTCACATGTGTGGGTGCACATGTCTGAGGGTGCTAGTGCATGCGGAGGCCAGAGGTTGATAGGTGTCTTCCTCAATCGCTCTCCACCTGGTAAACAGAGTCAGGGTCTCTCCCTGGAACCTAGAGCTCCCTGATTCAGCCAGCCCAGCTGGCCAGCTTGCAGAGGGATCCTGTCTCAGCCCACAGAGTTCTGAAGTTGTAGGAGGGCCTCCATACCCCTTAGGCAGTTATGTGGTTTCATCTTTTCTTGGCCAGCGCTTTATCCACTGAGCCATCTTCTCAGCCCCAAAGATCACTTTCATTAAAATTAGCTTATTACTGGAGCCAGCAAGATGGCTCAGCAGGTAAAGGCAGCCGATACCAAGCCTGACAAGCTGAGCTCTATCCAGTCAGTGCCCACCCACACAGTGGAAGGAGTGAGCCGACTCCTACAAGCTGTACACTACACGGGCACTGCGGCCGGCTTGTGTGCCCACACATATTAAGTAAATACAGCAGTAGAAATAGTTTCCTATTTGGACCTTATCTAATCCTGGACTGGAGCCATTTCTGCTCCATCTACTCTGCTTCTGAGGTTTCCTGTTGGTTTGTTTTTTTTTCATTTTAAAAGTTATTCTTGGGGTTGGAAATGTAACTTGGTAGTTGAGTGATTGCTCAGTGTGTGTCCTAGGTTTAAAACTAGCACCATTTGCCGCTACCCCAAACAAAAGTTGTTTCCTTAGACTAAATCACCTGCAACGCTTTTACAAGTCACAGAACGTGAACAGTGTACAGGTCTGATATCTGCCCCGGTGGCCCAGGGGCAGATCCCAGCACAGAGGCTGATGAATTTCTAAGTTTGAGGCCAGCCTGGTCTATGAGAGTTCCAGGACAGCCTGGGCTACACAGAGAAACCTGGTCTAGGAAAACAAACAAGCAAACTAAGGCTGTGTCAGAAGTCATAGCCACAAGCTTTGTGTGGAAAGGAAGTAGGCTCCTAGAAGGGCTGAGAGTAAATTTTCCCTTTTGTTAGCTCATCATGGAGATTAATATTTTTGTTTTACTTTTATTATCTTTTTTTTGTATTGGAAATTGAACCCGGAACATCATACATGCTAGGCGTGTATCCTACAACTGAACTTCATCCCAGCCTGGTAATGAATAAGTTTTGAGTTATAAATATACCAGGCACCGTTGTAAGAAATTTATGTATATAAAATTTTAGGGATTTTGTAATAATATTTAAATAATGATTTAATATGCCTAAATACCCAAAAGTATAATAATTTGCCTTTGCTAAAAGTATGAAAAGAAAAAAAAACCAAAAAATGAAGAAACTTACCTTCTCTGCCTTAAGCATCATAAAGCAATTTTTTTACATTTAAAAAATGGTACTTAATTTCATATATGTGGAAAGACACAATTTAGCTATGATGCGAATTAATACTACCATAGCCTTTTCAAGTTAATTCAAAGAAGTAACAGTAGGATCTATGATTGAGGGAAAAAAATTCAGTATAAGAAAGTTTATTTTACCATAGTTCCTGGCCTAAAAAATGCTCACATAGAACTTTGGAAGTCCATTAATATTTTTTTAAAAGCATTGGCTAAATGACTTACCTGATTTCACCAAGCACAACAAACTGATAAGAAAGTACAGCCTCAGCATAGGGACTCTCAAGAGAGCATGTGTGTCCGGAACACCAGGATGTGGCCCACTCAGCAGAGCCTGGCAGAGTCCGACTTTCTCCCAGTGAGCTCCCTGGTCTGACTTAGTGACAGCAGGAAGTCCCTGAGGGAGGGACGCAACCCTGCTAGTCCTGTCAGGATCTTTGGCTCCTCCCCTTTGCAATAAAAGGTCTGGGATTTTCTGCTTGCTCAAACACCTGCTCCGCGGATGTTACTGTCTCATTTGCATCTGAGGGATGACGGGGTAAAAAGTTTCATTCTTCGTGGGTGGTTTACTATCTGTCTGGCTTGGTGTGTTGAAATCAACCTAATTTGAGAGCCTTCTCCTTTATGAATGAAATAACAAATCCGGTCAGTATTTATCCCTGGCTGCATAGACAAAACCACTTTCTACAAGAACTCACAAACACGCTTTCCACAGATGTCAGTAAAGTTTATTAATAGCATTTGATTAAGTTCAGGTATACAGCTGTGTTTACAAATGTATCCATGCCTCAGATTAAAGATCTTTTGTACTTACTCCTATTTTTTTCTACTCTCTATCCAGAGTTCTTGTCTCCCTCATAGCCGAGTTCTTGTTTTTATATTTTATTTATTTATTGGAGGTAGTTAGGCGTGCCATGGTTCCCATCCTTCCTTGTAGAGGTCAGAAGACAACCTCCTTGGTCCTCTTTTTGCGTCATGGAGATCTTGAAGATGGAGCTCACGCTCTCCTCAGGCCTGGGGCAAGCAGGAGTATTGGCCCTCTATGCTGCCCTGCCCACCAGCTCTTCTCTCTAAAGATGGTATCTTCATCTCTCTAATCTTTCTAACACTAGAAATTATTAACCCGGCATGAGGAGGCGACTGTGGATGAGCGGGCTTCAGCTGGAGAGAGGGTACCCAGCCCGTGAGCAAACCCCGGAGAAGCTGAGAAGGTGGATCACTAATGACAGGGTAGGCCGCAGTGATGTGATCCTCTTTCTAGTGAAAATTCTTCAAGCATCAAGCTTCTGGTTGTTTTCTATGCTTAAAAATGATTAAAAAAAAAAAAAACCACCCACACTTTCATCCAAACGTCAGGCAAAACCATTAGTCATTTAGTCTATGTATCTATGTGAAGTGCTTCTTGACTTAGGTATGGTGACATATGCCTGTAATCCTCATCCTCAGGGGGCTGAGGCTGGAGGATTGCAGGTTTGGAACTAGGCTGGGCTCCATACCAAGATTCTATCTCAAACAACCGTGTGAGGAGGTAGGGGTAGGAGAAGACGATGACCGATCTGACGCCTCACCCCTCATCTATGTTTATGGACTTGGATTCTTAGCATTTAACCATTAAATGGCAGTAGCAATTGCTGTCCAAGGAATCAGTTCATCGCAAGCACTTGGGGGCAGGGATGGGGGGGCTTTTTAACAGTCCCATGGAACATGCACAGTAAGGCCATTATTCAGAAGGCTAGGCGAGAGGATACGAAGTTCAGGGCCAATCTGGGTTCAATAGCAAGACCCTTCAAAAGGAAAACAGACAGCGCTTGTCCATTCCTGTATCACACCTGAGACCTAATGAAGGCGAAAGCCCTAGCCCACTAGCCTGAGTTCAGATCCCGTATCTTCCACTCACTACATGGCCCTAATAAATAAAACATTTAAGTTCTGCGTGTCTCAACTTTCTCAGTCATGAAGTGAAGATAAGATCACCCAACTCTCAGAGTAATTACACAGATTAAATGAGGTATCACAGTTGAAGTCCTCCACACCGTGCCTGCTGCCAACGTAATTGTTCCCACCATTTGCTAACTCCGTTTACTAACTTCCTGGCCATGCAGCTGGCCTGGGTCTCTTCCCTCTACAGGCTGCAGAGTTGACAAGGGGCCTTCAAGACTGTGAGGATTGGGGACCTCCTTCAAGTCCTTTCGTGAACACTGCAAGAGCACACTACAGTGTGTTTTACTATCATGTCCTGTTTGGAAAAGAATTAAGGGACTGTCAATAGGAAATGCAAACCCACACTTGCACTAAGCCCCGCTCATTTGATAACACTGGCTCTCTAAACAGAGAATTGTTCTGTCTCTTTAAGGAACCTTCCCTGGAATGTGCCCCTCCCTGCTAGGTCAGTGTTGTTACCTGATAAATAAATATTTGTTGAGTTCCTATCAGTTTTGAGTGCTTATCTGGACTAGGCAATGTACTTTTTAGGTGTACACTAGCCGGTCCTACAGGAATAAGGCCGTCCTGCTGAGCCGTCCTCTGGCGTTACCAATGGTTACCACACAGAAGGCCCACTAACTTCGTAGCTGGGTGCTCTGTTTTCCTCCCAGCATTCCTATCAGCAGAGAACCAACAGAGGAACCTGTTCTTTCTGTTTCAGATGAGTACAGATGTTGACACTGTAATGAGAACTACCAACTGTGTATTAGGAAAGGAAACACCCCAAAGGTGGGGAAGAGGAGGACAGAGCAGAGTACAACCTTATAGCGCAAGGAAGGCGTCTCTTCTGGTTTGTGGCTGGGGATGGGATTCCAGGCCTTGAGCTCACTAAGCAACCCTGCAGGAAGCCTTTAATGGTGGACCATTCCTATGCTTTCATTGAAGTGGTGACTGCGGGAAGCCATGCAATGAGGGCACAGACACACACACACACACACACACACACACACACACACACGGGCACACACACACACACACACACACGGGAACGCACGCGCACACACACACGCGCACACACACGCGCACACACACACACACGGGCACACACACGCAGAGTCTGAACTAGGTCTCTGAGTCGTGCCAGGGTGCATGTTCTGGCTTTGATAGCACATTATTACTTCCGGGAGATGATGAGCTAATGGGAAACTGGGTGGGTACACGAGGACCTTCTCCCATTGTTTCTGCAACTTCCAACCAACCAATAATTATTTAAAGTAAAATGTGTTTTAACAAAAATGGGTCAACTCTTTTGTTGTTGTTTGTTTCCCAATTGGAGCCAGTCCTGGACCTTGCTCTGTAGACCAGGCTGACCTCGAACTCACAGAGATCCGCCTGAAAATGGGTCAACTCTTACAGTCATTGAAAGAGCATTAATTCGGAAGTGTTCTGAGGAAGCCCTGTGCTTATCTCCACTAGCTAACCAAGATTCTCTCAGTCTGATGGCCCTAAGGTGAGACCACAACTCACAAGTATCACTGTCCCTTCAGTCCAACCTATCGTCGTCATCATCATCATCATCTAGTTCAGTTTCCTGAGACAGTTTCATGTAGCCTATGCTGGTTTTGAACTTGCCATGAAGCCAAAGCTGGCACTGAACTCCTGACCCACCTGTCTCAGCCTTGTAAGTGCCAGGACTGTACATGTGAATCACCTCGTCTGCCTCTAGTGTGTATTATGTATTTATCCTCCCCCCCCCCACTGCCTATTTTCCCACTCACCACAGACAGCAGAGTAGAAAGTGGCAGGCCAGCTTCTACTGTGTGGACCGGAAAGGCAGGTATGGAGGCGTGATGGAACCTGGGAGAGGTAGCTTTATTATTCTCTTTTCTGATAACCAGGAAAGGTGACCTGTGTCCCCACCCAGCCTGGTCTAGGGCCACACTGCTGTGTGACTCAACCTGTAACGCCCTTTGGTCCACTTGCTTGTCTCTCACTTGGAATACGAGTTCAGAAAGATGAGTCAATTTCCTCAAATCATATCCAACAAAGAGATTAGATTTATACTCCCCAAACTACATATTTCTCTTCCTCCCTCCACCCTTCCCTCCTTTAAGTTGTTTTCGGTTCTTGTGTTTTTTGGTTTTTGTTTGTTTGTTTGGTTTGGTTTGTTTCTTTTCCCCCTGTTTTGTTTATTTTCTACTACTGAGTGTGGGATGTTACCTAACACTGTAAGAATATATGCTGCTGTGATTGGTTTAATAAACAGGCTGACTGGTCAATATCTGGACAGGATAAGGAAAGGGAGAGAGCCAAACAGAATGCTGGAAAGGACAGAGTCAGAGGAGCTGTGAGCAGATACAAAGAGAAGCAAAATGGACATGCATGCCATATTGAGAAAAGGTACCAAGCCACATTGTACCACACTGCTTTTTGTCCTGCCCAGCTCCCGCATAGCTAGCATTATGCCTGAAATAACAACACACAAATTGTATTCATTTAAACACTGCCTGGCCCATTAGCTCTAGCCTCAACTCTCACATCTTGATTAACCCATATCCATTAATGTGTATCACCACTTGACTGTGGCTTACTGGCATGAGTCTAACCACTGTCCGTCTTGGGTAGGAGAAGCATGGCATCTGCCTGACTCTGCATTCTTCTTCTCAGCATTCTGTTCTGTCTTTCCCACCTACCTATGTTCTGACCTATCAGGCCAAGCAGTTTTCTTTATTAATTAACAAATGAAAGCAACAGATAGATAGAAGACCCTCCTACAACACCACATAGCAAAGGGTAGATAAAAATATGAGCTAATTGAAAATGTAAGAGTGAACTAGTAGCAAGTCTGAGATATTGACCAAGCATTCGTAATTAATATTAAGTCTCTGTGTGGTTACCTGGGATCAACTTGCAGGACAGAAATGTTTGCCTACAACTGAGCCCTAATCCCTCAACAATTTTCAATTCTTTTTAATTTAATTTTTGTTGTTGTTGTTTAAAGAAGCTGCTTAGGTCTATGACAGGGCAGAATAGAGCCGGGCAGGAAAACTAAACTGAATGCTGGGAGAAAGAAGGTGGAGTCAGGGAGAAGCCATGTAGCTGCCCCAGGAGACAGATGCCGGACAGTGAATGGAACCTTGCCAGTAAATCACAACCCATGTGACAATACACAGATTAATAGAAATGAGCTAATTTCAGATGTAGAGCTAACTAGAAATACACTTAAGCTATTGGCCAAACAGTATTGTAATTAATATAGTTTCTGTGCATTTATTTCAGGTCTGGGCAGCCAGAAAATGAACGCCCAGCCTCCACCAACAGTTGTTTATTTTTTTAACCTTTTTATTGATATTTTGTGGGCATATCATGCATCCTGATTCCACTCATCTTCCCATCCCCTCGATTCCACCCTCAGCCCTTGCAACCTCCCTCAA